GAGTCAGCCGACAAATTGGAGCCAGAACACGTTTACATTTAAGGCTTAAAATGTAGATTCCTCTTGTGGAAAGAAACAAGGGGGAGGGAACCGCCCGGGACCCAGTGTTTCTTGTTAAGGGAGCAGGCCCCATTGAGGGTCTCCCAGAGCGCAAAGGTGGAAGATGCCAATCCCAGATTCCCCGCCTATTGCTCTTGAAAAGCACATGTCACATCTGCTTGCTATCATCATTTATCTCTCAGCGTGCTTCTGACTCATTTGGAAAACTCAAAGCACATGTTTTCCTGCAGAGGTACCGGCCATTACTGTGCAATTTACAGGTCCCGGGTGACCCAGAGCACACGACGTGACTACAGGGAGCTGTCAAGGGGCTGGTCCGGTTCTTGGTGCTGCTCCATTTCACTGCCCTGCTATGAGCTTCCAGTGAGCTCTGCTGTGCCTTCCCAGCCTAAGACACCAAGAACGCTCTGCTGCTCAGCTCACCTCGGAAGGTGCGATCCCAGAACAGGTGTGTCTGGGAGAGAGGGCAGCCGGTAACAAACAAGAATCAGCGGCTCCAGAGTTTCTGCAAACAAACGGCTTTTGGGCAACAGCTTTAAAAGTCCTGGTCACACCACAAAACTGACCTGGTCGTTCTTTCTCCAAATCCCTGCAATCTCAGGATGGCCTCTGGCCACCACAAGAGGTTTCTCACAGAGGCCTCCTCCACCACTCAGCGTCACTTCCAGGGGCCGAACAAACCGAGCCTAGGCCTACACAACCTAGTAACCCACCAAGGGGCTTTTCCGCCGTGTGAACCTACTTTATCAGGGCCTCCACATGCCATAGTCCAGGTTGGAAGGTGAAAATTCATCAGATTTACTACCATTTGCTTCATCCGATCTTTTTTTTTTCTGGTTTTGGCCTGTTCTGCTACAACTTATGGCGACTTTACGGCCGAGGCAGTCAGCACAGGTGTCTGTGTCAGTTAGGGGAGGACGGTGTCCCGTTCATTCTGCAGAGTGAACCCACAGAAACCATGACGTGGCCCCGGCAAGAGCCCACAGACCTTCTCTGTCCAGAAACCTCGACAGGGATGGAACGCCACGGTTTGTATGGCTAACCTGGACACAGCTCTGCCAGCGTGGCTGTGCATCGGGCCAGAGGTTTGGATCAAAGTTCACTCAAAGCCTTTGTGTTCCTGGGCTGCTGGACACACAGAGGGTGCGTGGTCCGCTCACTGCCTCCCTCTCTGCCGTCCAGCTAAACGAGAAGGACCCTGAGCCAACATTTCCTCTTCTGCAGTCTCCTTCCTGTGGTCTGAAAATATTCCATGGAAAATTCTAGAAATAAACACGTTCTGAACTGTGCACTGTTCTGAGCAGTGTGATAACATCTTGCGCTATCCCACCCAGTCCTGCCTGGGATGTGAATTAGCCCTTTGTCTAGGGTATCCAAATTGTATATACTACTCGCATGTGTTCACCTGACCCTTAATAACAGCCTCAAAGTCTAAGAGCAGAGATGCTGGCATTTCAGGTATGTCCGAGAGAAGTGAAAGGGTGAAAGTTTGTCACAGGAACACAGGTATAGGAAGAAAAACGGTACATGTGAGGTTCGGCACTGACTACAGTTTCCAACACTGCTGGGGGCCTTGGAATTGTCCCCAGCAGACTAAGCAGTCTACTATACTTGGTTTGCTCTAAAACCAGCTTCTAGACACAACTTCTGGCTTTGATGAGTTTATGCTCACTTTCGTTAGGTCCTTGCTTAATTCTGCGGATCCCTGAAAAGATAGGAAGATTTTCTGTCTCCTGGTTTGCTCAGTTGAGTCCTCCAGGTTCACCATCTCTCATTTGTAGCCTCTCTCATCCCCTCAGATCTTGTCCACAGGAAGATCTGTCCTCTGAGGCCACCACCTTTGAAACATGACACCAACCTTTGTAACCCACTAGAGTCAATGCCACCCCCTGGAGCAGTGAGTTCCAACCACTTTGAACATGTACACATGACTTCTTTGAGTTACTCTTTGTTAGCTTATACATTGTCTGTGCTGGCCTTTATCATTACCTCATAGGTCCAGACACACAATAGAGCGTCCCTTGGTATCCACAGGGAATTGGTTCTACATTCTGTCCACAGCTCCCTGTGGATATCAAAATCTGAGCGTGCCCAAGTCCCTTACATAATATGACACAGTCTTTGCATATAACACTCTCGTATATTTTGAGTTGCCTCTATATTACTTAGAATGGCCGGTACAATGTAAATGCTGTGCTGTTATACTGTAATGTTGAGGAACTAATAAGAAGAAAGAAAACCTTTGTGTGTGTTTAGTACAGACACAATTTTTTTCCCTGAATGCTTTTAATATGGAGTTGGCTGAATTCTGTGGTTACGGAAACTTGAGTACAAACCCCTATATTCCTTGTCTGATGTATTCTTTGTTAACTTAATAAATTATCTACACAGGCCATTATCATTACTTAGTTCAAGGCACAAAATTACTTGGAGTGAAATGTCTTATAATAATCATGTGAATTTTTGTCCCTATTTCCATTTAAAAAATTTTTTTTAAAATCTGAGGGGCTGGGTGTTTTGCTTTTGGCCAAGTGCTTACCAAATCAAATCAGACCACTGCTCAGCTGGGGATTTAGCTCAGTGGTTCTGCTGCCTGCCTCGCGCGCACGGGGACCCGTTCAAGCCCTAAAAAAAAAAATCAGACCACTGCTGTTTCACTCTTGTGGTGGAGGCTGGGAAAGGAAGCCACTCTCGCCATCTTGTCTGTCTGGTTATTTAGGGCCTGTTTTACTAGTGCTGTCTTTAATCCAGGCTCCACATCTTTTAGGTGGCATGTCCATTTTGTGTAGGTTAAAACTGAATAGATGTGGTCAAGCCATTTAGCCAGGGAGATGGAACCAGGCACAGTATACTCATTATCCTTGAATTTTACAAGTTAAAGACAAAAGACTAAAGATTGGCTCATTTAGCTAGTATTAACATGTTGCTATTTCGCCAGGAAAAAATACAGAGCATTTGGGGACTGTCAGAAAGCAACGATTTGACAGTTAATTGTATATCCATATCTTCTCTGGTTTAAAGTACTTTTCATAAAGACCCTGAAAGTTATAGGCACTAAGCATGTCCAAATATCTTAAATATTTCCACAGGAAGGGTCTATAAACTTCCCAAGTTAAAAAAAAAAAAAAAAGAAAAAGAAACAGAACCTGCCTTCATGTCTTTACTCCATTAAAAAACTGGAGACAGATATTTTTCCCCATTAGTCTACACTGTCTCTTGTTTAGCTATAATAATACGTATAGGCTTAGCACTTTCAGCAAAATGGGTTTTGACAACCCATTCTCAGTCTGAAAAACCCAGAGCTGATACACCTCTTTAAAATCAAGAGGCACAAATTCTATTTTGAGAGAAATTCTTTTGTCTTTGTCCAAGAAAAACAGCTTCCATCTCAATGCTAGGAACTAGTGGCAAATTCTCCTTTCTACCCACTTCTGTGGATCAGCGCGTTTCTCCAATGTTGCCAGTGCAGAAAGCTTTGAGGCCTTTTTGCCAGCGCTTGCAAAGTCTGACCTTCTGGTCTCTGCTCACAGGCGCCCCTCGCAGGGAAGAGCAGTGGTCCCCATGGGAACAGGGAGGGAACGGAGCATAGTAGGCTCAGTCACGAGATGGCACGGATGGAAAAGATGAGCCACTCTGGGGGAAGGCAGAAGGGCCGGCCTAGGACATGGACCTGTCTGCCTCGATGGAGTCCGTAATGAAGTCCAAGCAAGTCAACACTCCACAAAGGGCAATGAGGAAGTGACACCAAAGCCAACCAAAGCCGTGTGTCACGATACCGGGATCCACAGGCTTTTCTGGGGGGAGGCGTGTGAGCGAACAGCTCTGACCTTGCAGTCCACATGCTGACTCTTTTTGGCTCCTTGGAGACGTTTGTACAGGATCCTAAGTGCCCATGGATTTAAATAGTACAGGAGGAAAGAAGGAATTAGAAGCTGTTGTAATCCAGACCCAAAGCCTAACTTAAACACATTCAGATTCTTTTGATCTTGTCACCAGTATAGTACAGCAGTGGAGCTCCAAACCATGCAAAGCATTTCAGGGCCACCCAAGTACACCAGGCAACTCTGTCAGCAGCTCAAGGCAGTGTTTAAAAAACAAAACCAACAAGAAAACAACAAGAAAACCCAAATCTGAAACACTATCCAAAAAATGCACAGCAGTGTCTGAGGCCAAAAAGATGTTCTACCACGCTGGTCTCAGGCTAAGTGTACGGTGCTCCCAGAGGATGAACCTCATCGCTTGTCCCTGGGCAGCCAGGGCCCTGCTGCTCCAGCGAGCAGGAATCCTGTCTGTCCAAGTGGTGAGACAGCAGCCAGGTCTGCTGTTCCATGTCATTCACTAATTTACTCACCCATTTAGCAAATATTTAGTGACCTCCTCTTAAGTGTCAGGCGCTGAGAATATGCTGGGGAATGGAACACACATGGTCTCTGCCCTCGTTGGAAACTTTCTCTATATCTCCCTAGAAGGTTGTTTGCTTGAGTTTTCATCTGGGTTAAAATGCGGAACACAGATGCTTTGGGAACGAACGGTATTTTGGCTATTATCAGTTGTGAGTTCAGCAGAGTTGTTACGTTTGGGGCTGGTGCTAAGTGCTTGGAAGGAATAGGTCTTTGCTCTTTCTCCAACCCTAGCCGTCGCCAAAGGAAGAGGGCTGGGGACAGATGTGTGGCGAGGATTGTAGTGGCGCACTTGGGGAGTTATTTTCATCTGCTGTGCAGTGTTCTTGGGACTAGCCCAATCTGTAACCAGCCCGCCTCTTGGCTCAGTCCTCAGGCAAATCTTATTAAAGGAAGGGGGTCCATGTTGGGGCGGTGGGTGGGCAGAAGAAGCTGTGATTAGTCAGAATTTAGAGAAAAGTCCCATAACATCACTGCAGCAAGGACTTCGGCCTCCTGGTAGCATAAATGGTGATTCCGTTGGTTTGCGTCTGTCCCCAGTGCAGGTCTGCTGCTGTTGCAGGGAGGAAGAAAACTTGATGATGCCAGTGGCCGCTGGGCGCCCAGGACACAGAAAGGGCTTGGATGAATTCCAGGCCGGAGAACCTCTGGGTGCTGGATGATGAAGCACCACTGCGCTCTTAGACACAAAGCAAGACTCGGACCAATGCATGGCAATCGCATGCTCAACAGTTCATAGGGAAACAGTTCATGCACTGGGAATGACCAATAATGTACTCTTAAACATGTAATAAAACTTAAGGGAAAAGAGGGCCCAGGGCCTGCAGGGGAAATGAGCCATTACTCCTTGGCATGGAGAGGCTGTTGTATTTCATGTATGATTTGACTCTGCTTCACTACAGCAATTTCAGCTTTAAATGGTACATTTCCTCTTTATTGGGCTTCCTGAAGGGTGATTTCACCCCAGGTATTTTCTTACACAGAGTAGTATTTCAGCCGCATCGTGCAGACCCAGAATTCTTGCAGCAATCTCAGAAACATCCAGTGTGTCACTGACGGAGGCGGCGGCGGCAGCCTGCGGTTCTGGAAGCCTGCGATGCATACTTGAGTCTGTGATGGATGTTTACGACTGTCGGAATGTGTCTTCAATCATCACAGAAATGCCTGAGCACATGGTTGTGGGTTACGCGATGTTAAGACGTGACTGACTGTGTTTTTTAAGACGGGCATGTGTGCCATTATTTATTATTGTTCTGGTAACATTTACTATTTTGGAGGGTTTGTTGTTCTGTCCCCCAAAATAACAATTTTTTGTGTTTTTTTTCTTTTTTCTTTTTTAAAGAAGTGGCCTAGACCTTCTTACTCTGAGTTTTAGAGAAAAGCAGCATCTGGGAACATATGGTCCAGCTTCCTGAAAAATAAACTTGCTTTTCTTATTTTGTTATGATGCCTTCTTTATCCCCAGTGAAAACAAGTCTACAGTAACTGATGGATTCTTTCCCCCTGTGACCTAGTGTCCTCGTGGGGACACCAATCTCACTGGTGATCTCGTGGTGCAGCATCATCGAGCATCAGAGCCACGGGCAAGGGGGACTCCACCTTCTACTCAGACGTCTGTCAAGACCCACCGATGCTCACCTCAGGACGGCACAAGCCTCCTTCCCACACCACCTGTCCAGACGCCTGCAACCCTCTAAGGACTGCGGGATCTAGAGTTCATTATCCATGAGTGAAATCACATCCTTTGATTTACATTATAGTCATCCAGGTCTGTAACCATGCATACTGGCTGTTCTTTTACACGGTTTCACTGTAAAATTTCTAGAACTCTGCCACTCGAAGCAGAGAAATCTGGCTTCCTTAAAGGGACTCAGCTTATTCCAAAGGAAACCAACCAGGTTCTCCGAAGGCCAAGCTCTCCTTGAGTCCTTAGGTGCTCGTGAGAGTACAGTTCTCACCAGAAAAGAGCGTCCTAATGGCCACAGGCCTTGCCTCCACTGCTCAGTGACTGGCCTGGACTAAGGGTCTCACGGTGTCTCAGGCTGGGTTCCACCAGCCCTGGCCTCGGGCTCCTGGTGTCTCTCTTGCCATCTCAGAGTTCTTGTTTATGAAGTTGGGCTAGCAGTGCTTTTGGACAATATGAAATACCTCAAGGATTTAAAAACACTGAAAAGCTTGCTTTGACAAGGTTCTCAGAATGAAAATTAAAACAAGAAAATAAAAATAAAAACAGCGAGATTCCATTTCACCCCACAAAGAATGGCCATCATTGAGAAATCAAGTAATAACATATGCTGGCGCAGGTTGGTGGGGGGAACCTTGCTAAACTGTGGAAATCAATATGGAGATTCCTCAAAAGCCTAAAACTAGAAATTCCATTTGACCCAGTGCGTTCCATTCTAGGTACCCTCCCAGAGGAATTAGACATCATTTACTGTGATCCAGGCACACCCATGTTTATAGCAGCACAATTCACAATAGCTAAATCACCCTGCCTTCAGGGTAAAGAGACAACTAACTACAGGAAGACCCACAAGGGCCTGCAAGGGACATGTGGCTTATGGGGGACAGTTGGCCCATCAGTGGCCACCATTTTAAGGTAGCAGAAACAAGAACCGTGAGGCAGAATTTAGAAGACTCTGAGCGTGACTGTGGCATTCCCTTCTGTTTACTGCTCTCTCCTCACGGAGCTCGGAACAGCTGTCCCTTCCTTATCTTCTGGTGCTTGTTCTGGAACACCCTGTGGAGCTGGGTGTGTACACACAAGCAGGAAGTGGTTAAACTGGGCCTGCAGTGATCAGGCAGCCCTGGCCTGAGGTACTGTTGCAGGGGTGAATCCGAGGCCTTCATAGGAAGGGTAGCTGTGTTGTTGTGTTCCTGACTCTCACTCTCCGCAGTCACTTCCTCAAGGGCTAAGTCACTGTGCTCTTCAGACAGGGTACCCAGAGGAATGCTAAGTCGACTCAGAGGACTTTTCCAAGACCAGGAGCTACGGAAGACCAGCTTATGAAAGGCCTCTAAACCAGGCGGGTGAGGTTGTGATAGGAAAGATGCCAGTGGACCAGCGTACCTCTGGCTAAGGCAGGGTCCTTGGAGAGATGGAACTGCAACTAATATCTGAACCCCTCTGTCTTCTTCATGATTTGCTGCGCATACCTGTGAACACACAAACTGTGTGAGATCCTTCTCGTCAGAGGGTCTCCTCGGTGCTCCCAAGAAATTCCTTGCTATTTCATGAAGTCCCTGAGCTTTAAAAAAAGAAAACCCGCTTGGGTGTTGTTATGAATAGATACAGGGACTGGTGACACCGGGTTAACTAAAACAATCAAGATTCTGATACCCAGCGTGTGAAATTGAGGTCAGCAGCACCCATCTGCCCAGCCTAAATGAAGTGAAAACAGACAGCCCAGCAGTGACAGTCTCATTAACACCACTCACTCTCAAGAGAGAGTTAGGCAAGGTGTGTTCCACTGGGGGACATCGGCTTTACTTCCAGTAAAGTCCAGCTTTCTCAAGACAGCTTTGAAAAATACACACAATTAATTGCTCTGGGGAATTTTTATCCAAGAGATAAATGGAGTTGGTCAGCATTAAAGTTGCATCTTCGCGAGCTGAGCAAAGCGGACACTTGAGGAAGTGGTCCAAGTCGAGCAAAGCAGGAGAAAAGCATCCCTTACAACCCAAAACGTCCACACTATCTCCACAGCCCATCTCATCAGGCCGTTCGGCAGCTTCTGAGTCTCACAAAGCCAAGTGAGCACAGGCCAGGCGCGGCTTGCTGCCTGACCTCACACCCACAATGCTGGAGGAGGAGCAGGAAGGGGTTTTCTTTGGCTGCTCTTGAACTGAAAGAACTTCAACAGCCAACGTGGGGCGGTTTCCTTTTTTCCTCCAATATATTCCTCGTTTATTTGTTTTACTTTGTAGCAAAATGAAAATGGCTAAAACCATCCAAAAATGAAGCTGAGACAGAAACCCCGATGCTTTTATCTTCACATATGACACCACCAACATGCTAGTCTAATATAGCGAGGAAAGCACTGCTGGATGAACTTCGGTGATCCGCTGAAATGTTTATTTTCTTGAACTGAAATAATTCCTGTGGCTTTGTTTGTTGATGAGCGATTGTTTTTCAAAGTTTGGAAAAATGTAGACAAAAAGTGGTAAAACATGAATATCATTCCTCTGCCTCTTTAGAAGACACCAGAATGAGCAAAAAAATAACTTTAACAATACGAAATGTTAAAGCAATAATATCTATGTGGTAACAATTTATGGGGAACTAGCTTAGGGGGTTGTAAACTGAAGATTTTTTGCCCAAAGTCATGAATCTGTGTTATTGAACAAAATATTTATTCAGAAGACAAAATGGAGCCACATGTGGCTATTAGGTGGGTCTAAAGCCGGGACTATATAAACTAAATAAAAAATGAGCCACCTCAGTGCAGGCTTTCCACCAGGAAGATCCAGTCAGGGCCACAGCTGGCTCTCGGTACCAAAAAGCCACGGGCACGCACTATGGAGACCCTAATTAATGCCTTCCCAGCTCCTGAGCCCTTGACCAGGCCCCTTTTTATGCCGCCTCTTACTCCTTGGACTGGCATCAGCGTGCACCTAGCCCCCAGTGTTCTCTAGGACTGAATGGCACCCCACTTTGGCTCATTTCTCCTGACTCTTTGAGTAACCACCTCCTTTCTCAGTGCTGGGCTCCAGATTCCCGCTTCTACCCCGGCCACCCGGCCGGCACCCTGAGGAGACCGTGCCTGACACCCTGCCTGACACCGCGAAGGACGACTGGACAAGGTGAGTGCGCTCTTGCCCTCCCCAGTCGGCTCTTCCTGGGACTGCACCACTGCAGCAAGGCTGCGGCTTGGAAGCAGGGTCATGTGCAGCTTGGTTTCATAGGTAGGCAGGTGACTTGAGTCAGACTTGAGCGGGCGGAGGGAAACATAGGGGCAAGATTCTGAGCTTCGTGAGGCTTGGCTGCAGCAACCCCATCAGGGTTGATATGTGCATCTGACTCCTGTCACGAAGAGCTCCTCTCGATAACGTCTCTAGGAATGTGAACCATGAAAACCCTTAGAGGTGGCCAGGGTGTCTGGGCATCTTGGTTAAAAGGAAGTGTGTCGGTCACTTGGGATTCTCCAGAGACACAGAGCGAACAGGATGTGGGCATCTAGAGAGAGAGATTTCTTATAAGGGATTGGCTCATGTGATTCTGGTGACTGGCAAGTCCTAAGATCTGCTGCCGGAGAGCACAGAGCAAGGACAGTTGATGGTTTCAGTCCTAGGCCAAAAGCCAAAAGGTCCAAGACCTAAGAAGAGCAAGTGTTTTGAGTCTGAAGGCAAGAAAAAATCCAATGCCATCCACTGTAGGGAGGGCAGAGTGCTGTGCCCAAGCCCCCGACCAAGGCACACCCAGAAGAGCGCTGGCCCAGAGGTCGAAGCACCCATCACCCGGTTGGGGGCACAGAAAGGGGGCTGCTCCAGGGAGGGTGTCAGAGAACAGGGATACAGCGAGGCTCAGTGTGCCGGTTCTGGCTGTACATGGAGGCTACTCCGGGACATTAAAAATAGCTTCTGGGCTCCACCCCAGGCCAATTATCGAATCTCTGGGGCATGATGCCTGACAGACATTTTTTAAAAGCTCCCCTGGGGATTTGGACTTGCAGTCAGACCTGCACAAACTCCGGTGAATGATGGCTCTCACTAAGAGAAGGGATCCAGCTGGCATCAACCGAGGAAGTGGATTTTCAATAACTCGGGTTTAGAACGCAAGAAGTTAGGTGGCGGTCTCTGGTGTGTGACACGATGTAGTGACAGTGTCCTGGGCAGGACCCAGGGTCTAGGTTCCATCCCAGCTTTAACACACTGTGACCTCTGCGGCCTCCGGGGCCCAAACTAGGGAAGCAGGTGTGAAGATACCTACGACAACGTCAGGACAAGGTCTGCACAGGGCCTGGCCCAACACGGGGCACCTGCAAGGTCACTGCTGTCTCCTAACCCACAGGAAACAGGTCTCGTGAAACCCATCATCCATTTGATTCCACCTGTGTTTTCCAAACAGTAACACATCACGACTGCATGTCCTTCAGCATTCTCTTCAATCACTATCTTGCAACAAAAACGCCCATGGTTTATAAACAGGGGAGAGAAAAGAGGTCTTATTTTGAATTTGGAAAGGAATGAACATAAGATCAAGGCTGAATTATTCATAGTTGTCTCAAAGTTGAAACCTTCCAGGGAGTTCAAGGATTGCCAAATATTAAAAAAAAAAAAAAAAAAAAAAAAACAAACAGGGAAAGTACAAGGGAAGGGGAAAAGGGATTTAAGAGGTTTTCTTTAGGGCCAGTGGCACGCATCTGTGGTCCCAGCACTCTGGAGGCTGAGGCAGGAGGACTGCCTCGATTTCAAGGCTAGCTTGAGCTACATAGTGAGGTCAAGGCCAGCCTAGATTATACAGTGAGACCTTGTCTTAAAAAAAATAAAAATTTCAGGAAATATCTACACATTTATTTGTATAGAGCTTCTTAGGAAATAATCTTGCCACAACATAGTTCACACTCAGAAATGGTGGTGCATCCCACTTATATGCTTATTTATTTTAAACAGAATCAATGATTTTTTACAACAAAAATGAAAATCACCTGAATATTCTGCATGAATTATTTTAGGTTCTAAAATAAAATTTCCCTTACCCCTAAAAGCAAATCCCCATCCAGTGCACCAGGCAGATATTTTACTCATGGTTCTGTAGATATCTGCTGGGACTAACGTGTTAACACTATGAAGCGCTTGCTGATCTGAGCTCGGGATTTGTTAACTGCCTGCCAAGTACAGGCGGCCTCAGGAGCGACACGGTGGTGCTGACACGCACACACGTAAACACTCTCGGGGACGTGTGGCACCCACCTGAACTCTGCCTCGGAGCTGCAGGGATGCCCCACGCCCAGGCGTAAGCAGCAGGATAGGTCACCTCTGCTCCACTGAGCTAACCAAGACAAGGAGAAGACTGTGGACAGAGCTGAGTTCCAGTCCTGGCTGTGTGATCTGGAACAAGGCACTGAGCCTCTCTGAACCTCGGTTCCCCCTCTGTGACTCAGGGTTGCTAATACCTTCCCTGTGGCGTTCTTCCGAGGATCAAGTTATTTATGCATAAAGGGCCAAGCACACAGTAGGCCCTTGGTGTCGTATATAATCCTGGAAACAAATGCCTCCTGCAGGTGGTTTGGTATCCTTCTGGTTTATTAAGTGATGCTGTGTGTTCATAAAATATTGAGCTTAAAAAACCCAGGGGACTACACAGAAGAGCTCCAAGACTTGTACTTGTGGGAGATGAAGTGGACATGGACATAGCTTTCCCATTTCTCTGGCTAAGTACAGACAGACAACAAACAAAGGAAGCCTGTGGGCAGTGGACAGAAGGAAGACCAGGTAGGGATCTAGGAAACACAGCCCAGCAAGACAGAAAACTACATGATGAACATTCTGCTACAGCCAAACACCACAGAATACGCTATGCCCTCCCTTCCACCCACGCCAGCAGAGCACAGGCAGGGACCCTGGATTTCCACCCTGGCCACACTGGACTGAGGTGGGGCCACCCAGAGTGGTGTCGCAGGACGCCCAGGAGGGAAAGCCAAGTTCTTCACACGGCTACTCCCACTGTGCTGTCAAATGTAACCTCGTGGAGAGCAGAGCTGTGCCTCCCACCCCTGGCCACCAAGAATGCTGAATAAGAGACACTAATTGACACCCTTATCGATGGGAGGTTGGAGGGAACCCGGAATTCTACCTCCAACTAATCAACAATGAGGTGAGGCTCAACCTTCCCCTAATGAATTCGTATCATAGAAAGCTCAAACAGAGGGTTTTGATACAAGACAGAACTTCATAACATAATATGAAAATATTCTGGTTCCAATTAAAATAACTAATCATTCCAAGAAACAGGAAGATCTCAAACCTAATGAAAAACGACTATCAATAAATGCCAATACCAAGAAGATGGAGATTTTAAGATTACCTGCAAGGACTATAAAGCAGCCAGGGTAAATCACAGCAATGAGCAAGTACAAAAATGTTTCAGACGTACAAAGCAAAAAGCTTCACAAAAGAAAGTCTCAGAGAGGCAACAGATGACCTCAAAAAGAACCACATGGAAATTCAGAACTACAAAATAACATAATCAAAGTAGCAAGTTCCCTGGAAGGGCTCCATAACAGAATGCAGGAAATGAGGAAAGAGCCAGTGAACTGGAAAACAGAATCGTGGAAATTACCAATCCGAACAGAGGAAACAGATTAAAAAGAAAATGAACAGACCCCGAGGGACTGAGATTATAACAAAAAAATGGAATACTAGTATCAGTGGTGTCCTAGGAAAAGAAGAGAAAGAAGGACCTAGAAAAGTACTTGAACTGAAAATATCTTAAATTTGACAAGAGACATAAACCTGCAGATCTAGAAAGTGAGTGAATCCAAACAAGATACAAAATAATGAAATTTCTAAAAATAAAAGGCAAAGAAAACATGCGGAAAGCAGTAAAAGAGAAACAACAACATATTACCTACAGGAGGAAAGCAATTCAAAACACAGTGGCTTTCTCATCGGAAAATACAGAACCCTGAAGGAACTGGAACAATTTTTTAAAGTGCTGAAAGAAGAGAACTGTTAACCCAGAACCCTCTTCCTGCAAACATACCCATTAGGGACGAATGGGAAAGTAAAGACACTCTTAGAGGTCACAGGACTAAGAGACTATTACGGCCAACAGACACACTCGGAAGGATTAGCTAAAGGAAGACTGGCAAACATGAAAAAAAAAATAGAAATCTCAGGAAAACAGAAGGAAGAACACAAGTAAGCAAAAATATAGGTAAACACAACAGACTTAGGCTCAATAGTGAATAAAAACTTCCACTCTTTGATCTGGTTCTAAATGTTAAGTGGATAAAATACTTAAGACAAATATAAACAAAAGAAGATAAACAGAAAGTAAGGAAGCTGTGCTTCGTGTGCACTGGTAAAATACCAAGAGCAATAAGCGATAGTAAGCTCATGGATCTATAATGTAGTGCTTAAAGCAGGTACATTACACAAAGGGATACACTAAAAACTATTATAGAAAAATATTACAGAAAAATCAAAAGGAAATCCTGAAAAGAGATGGGCTGAGAGGTAAGAAAATGAAAAACAAAGATACAAAAAAGAGAACAATGACAAAAACTAACATGATTCTAACCCTAATACACCAAAAAGTACATTAAATGCAAATAGTCTAAATAAACCAATTTAAAGATAGTGAATGGCAGAAGAGATTCAACTCGATTATATCCTATCTGCCAGGAATTCATTTGAAATTTACCAGCATAAGGAAGTGGAAAGTAAGAGGATGGAAGAAAATGTATCATGCGAGAATTAAAGGAAAACAGAAGTGTCTGTATTAATATCAGACTAACATAGACTTCAGAGCAAATAACAGATTAGGGGGACACAACACAATGATAATACAGTCAGTCCACTAAGAAGACACAGCAACTCGAGACAGCAAAATATGCATGCACCAAACATCAAAGCTGTGAAATGCATGAAATAAAATCTGGTATAAGGAAAAATAAAAAAAGTAAAAATTAAAGTTAGGGGATTCTCTTCTAACAGCTAGTGGAAACTTCATACAAAACCAGCAAGGACAGAGAGGAACTCAAACTGTCAACCAACAGGATCTGTCATTTATAGAACACTCCACACCTAACAACTGCAGAACATACACGCTTTACAAGTGCCCAGAGGACACACAACAG